TGAGCTAACTGGCCAGTCCTTTCTCTTTTCTATTTTGTTATTTTATTAACTTATTTATTTTTATTTGCTCTTGGGTTTTTATGGAAGCTTCAGTACATAGGTGTGAACAACTGTGTAGAAGTGTGATTGGACAAAAAGGATCTGATCTAACACTACCAGCCTGGGTGTGAAAACCCAGCAAAGCCTGTTTGTTCAGGTTTTTCTTGGCCTCTCCATGCAGCATTCTTTCCTCCTGGGTTTGGGGTGGGACCCCTTTTCTAATGGGGGTCTTGTGATCTACAATTAGATGAAGCAGGTCAGAGAATTCCTTTATTGCTAGCTCCAAGACAGAAGGCAGGGGAAGGTTAGAACAAGACAGGAACTGTGGACGAAAACCAAAATATACATATCATAACATCACAGTCACATTCTTAGGTTCCAGGAAGGACATGATTTTGGGGGGAAATGCCATTTTTGTTGTTGTTGGTTTCTCTCTCTCTCTTTTTGCAGCTGGCTGGTACAGGGATCAAACCCTGAACCATGGTGTTATCAGTGTTAAAGTACCCAAGTCCGGCTGCCGGCCCCAATCCAAAACCCTGGCTTGACTCACCAAAATCTGTTACCCCGGGGCCTTCAGCTACTGGCTGAGGCTCCCCAAAATCTGCTACCAAATCCAAGTCTGGCTGCTTGTCCCCAAGCAAAAACAAACAACCCAAAAGTCAAATGTTAGTGAAAAATGGAAGTCAGCTTTTATTCAGGAATATTGGTGACCTGAGGAGAGATCTCAGGCTAACCCATCTCTTTGGTAAACCTGAAGGAAACGGCCAGACGAAAACCATCACAAGGACTCAGATTTACTACAGAGTTTTTTATTTTTATTTATTTATTTATTTATTTATTTATTTATTTTTTAAAAAGATGACTGGTAAGGGGATCTTATCCCTTGACTTGGTATTGTCAGCACCACGCTCACCAAAGTGAGCTAACCCGCCATCCCTATATAGGGATCCGAACCCGTGGCCTTAGTGTTATCAGCACCACACTCTCCCAAGTGAGCCATGGGCCAGCCCTTTTATTTATTTATTTATTTTTAAAATATTTTATTTATTTATTTTATTATTTCTTTTTTCCTTTTTGTCTTTTTTCGTGAACGGTAACGGGATCGCAACCCTCGGTGTCGCGCC